GCATGAGCCACTGGTATCCGACTGGAAAATTCCATCTTACATGTGAGAAGCTGAGTGCAGGCTTTCTGGGCACTTGTTTTTGCAACTGAAATCCTACACTCTCGCAGGCAGATGGCTTCCTCAGATAGATTGGGCAAAGGTAGTGTGCAACTTTGAAGGAGCAGCAAAAAAGGATATTCATAATAAAATACTCCTCAGAACCCAAAACAGGAAGGACTCAGTGCAAAAGACAGCTCCGTGCAGGATGAGGCAGGGACCATGAGCAGAAAGGTGGCAGCAGATGGGTGCCAGTGGCTCATGCCTGTAATCCTAACTACTGGGTGGGGGAGGGTGGCAGAGATCAGGAGGATCATGGTTCAAAGCCAGCTCAGGAAAAAAGCAAACACAAAAAAGGGCTGATGAAGTGGCTCCAGCAGTAGTGTGTCTGCCTAGTAAGTGTGAGGATTGCCATTTAAAAAAAAAAAAAAAATGGTGGCAGCTGCTCAGGAAGAAGATGCAGCACCAACACAGCTTGAGGATCCAAGGGCGGAAGGGGGAGGGAATGAGGGGGCTGCCAGGACAGCCAGAGGCCAATGCCCAGGCAGGGATTTAGACACCTGCGCCTGGGCCTGGCGACACATCACATCTGCGAAGGACAGAACTGAAGAGCCTGCACTGGCTGAGGCAACTTTACAGGGCAAAGATGAGGAGGGCATGAACCAGGAAGGAGCGCAGAGGCTAAAGGACATCCATTTCAAGAAGGGGTAAATTAATGAGGTGAGGACCACTCTTACCCAAGTCAGTGCAGACGAGGACAGAGCAAAGCACAGACACTACACATGGAAGTCTCATTAGGAAATACAGAAAATCTGCCAGGCAACTGACGGCTCTGAAACATCTTCACAAGTTTTCAAACTTGAGTGAACTTTAGGTCCAAATAATGAGACGTTTTTTCCGAAGAGCTCAGTATGTCAGAGGGAAACCCTATTTGCTAAGGTAGATGCTGCTGTTCAATACTGGCTTCTATGGTGAGACAAGCCAACGCTCTTTTTCATCAAGTGGGAAGAAAACCCCAGAAGCTCCTGCACCCTGCACCAGACATGCTTGGAGTGCTATCCCAGGGGTAGAGTGGTTCCACCACCAGTCTCCCCCAGCGCATGTCTTGGAACAGTGCTGCTACGCTCAGACTCTGCAGCACTGCTCCACCAAATCTTCCCTCTTTGGTGGGTACAGACATCGGGGTGTCCCCTTTTTGGACAACGGAAGCGGTGGTCATCAAGTCAGGGACCAAAAAAGCCTGTGAGGCCAGCAGGGAATGTCCTCTCCAGCACCTCACTGGCCACCTGAGCCTGGTTAAAAGAGCAGCTTCTGCACAGCAGCACCTGGGGCCTGCCAGCACCACTAGGAAGAAATTGAAGGCTCTAGCATTTTAGCAGGGCTTGGCAAGGATGCAAATGTGGTATAGGTTGAGCATCTGTGGCCTGGAGAGGGAAAAGTACTAACTGTGAGATAAGAGCTCCAGAGACAAGCCACTTTGTCACAAACTGCCAGGGCCAGACCCGGCTGTGCCGATCAGATCCTTGCCTAAGTCCCTTCTGCTCTAGCTGCCTCAGTATGCAGGACCTTGCCACCAGATGAAGTCACACATTGGGGACCATAGAGGTCACCTGCCAGAAGGTTCATCCAGTCTCAATCATGACGCTGAAACTGAGGAGAGGCCGGGCTTGGTGCATTCAAGGAGGAACCATGCTGGTGCTCTCATGCTACTTGTGAAAGGCCTTGTCTAAACTTGATTTCAAGTAAAAAATACCATCAAAGGAGGCAATGTGAACTCAAAACTGTGAACTTCTGTGATGCAGTGGAGGAGAATGAGACTGAAGCACATTCATGGTCTGCAAAGATTAATCTTCCAGGATTCCACAGCCTCTCAGCAACATTTAAGTGTGAAAACCCTGCCACAACACCGAGTTTCAAAAATTCACTAGGATGCTTCAGAAGACTATCTCAAAAACAGGAGACTGATAGTAAGTTCAACTGCAGACCAGGCAAAAGGCCTGGTCAAAAGCAAAGGAACACAACAGGCCCATGCCTGGAGAGCACAGAAAAAAAGCAAATGGGAGCCAAGCACTGATTGCTCACGCCTGTAATCCTAACTACTTGGGAGGGTGCAATCGGGAGGATCATGGTTTGAATCCGGCCTGGGCAAATGGTTTGTGAGACCCCATTTCCAAAATAGCCAGAGCAAAATGGACTGGAGGAGTGACCCTAGTAGAGAGCTTGAGTTCAACCCCCCAGTTCCACCTTAAAAAAAACCAAAAAACAAAACCAAGTGGGGATAATGAAGACACAGGCCCAACATTGTTCTCTAGCCCTGGACACTCTTAATTGTCTAGTCTAATCGTATTCCTCAGGCGCAATGCTCCTCCCTGAACTTGATCCTGCCTGTATTCCAGAGTCCAAAGTTCTCAAACTTATCCGGAGGTGAGAAAAATCACTTGCAGTGGCTTGGGTGCTGGGGGGTGGTGGTGGGGGTGGTGGTGGTATGTGTTTCACCCCTCCGGATAGAAACCCAAATGTAATTTGTTCATAAAATCGCTGTGTGTAACATGATATCCTATATGTGTATTATTATCATCACTGGGAGCTCAATGGGGAAAGTTCATATTACAGAAGCAGAAATGCTTCAAGCATTGCAGATTTTACAGGCTCCGTGGGCCAGCATGGAATGTAACCACCATTCACAACACCAGTTCTACAGAAAAATATGTCCAGAGTCAGACAACCAGCTCGAAGCTTCTGAAGCATGGCGCATTTGTGAACTGGGGATGCCTGTGCTTTCATGCATGGTTACCATTCTGACACTGCACCACACAAAAAAGCCCACGTGAACATAGTTCTGTGAACTGACCCAGAAAAGATTTCAGGGGACACTGTATGGGTAATAAACTTTAAGCCTCACTAAGAAGGTATCCTATGACACATACGACTGGGCACAGATTTTACCCAAAGCCTCTCCTGATTTAAAACAGATTATATGAGGGTAAGCAAAAACAAAAGTCATGAACAGAGCCTACTCTAATTTACGGGTTGCTAGAGTTAGTTTTCGGCTGTTTGTTAACATGTCTCCCACTTGCTTAAGAACATGCTCGCTCTACCATCTATCCTCTTGGACTGGCGGGTATGGATATCCCCTTAAATACAAGCTTTTTGTGTTTTGCATTTTCTATAATGCTTTTTTATGGTTTGAACTCAGGGCTTCATGCTTGGGAGGCAGGTGCTATACTGCTTAAAGCACACCTCCAGCCCTACAGAGGCACAAAGTAACTACGGCAGATGAGACCCTGGCCAAAACATCCATTCAGCGTCACAAGGCACACCTGGGAGGAACCCGTGGAGTTTGGTTCCCTCATCTATAGCCAACACCACAGGCCTTGTATCTTTCTAGGGAAATAGCCCCAAGGTCCCCCACATCTGTAACTGCTAGTGGTTGCTGCAGCAGCCATGGAGGAGAGGCTGGTAAGGAAGGAGGCAGGACAAAGAACACAACTGTGGGCAGGGGCTCAATAACACACGGTGAAGGCCCCAACCCGCAGGCTGGAAGCCAGCATGCTGAATACAGAGCTCTCACGGCACCCTGCCAACGGCCCTGCCTTTCCAGCTTTAGTTCTACTTTTTCTCCACCACTCTACCTCTGGCCTTCAGCCTTGTAGAAGGCATGTCTGGGTTTTACAACACTCTGCAAGTAACATGAGGACTCAGAACCTCTGCTCTAGCGGAGCCAGGCAAAATCACAGCTGGTGACCATGGTGTCTGTTCTGTTTAAACTTTGGCTACTCTGATGAAAGGCAATCTGAGTGTTTTAGGAAGTAATGATTGAAGCAAAGGATGCTGGACCATAAAGACACCCTTTGGACCCCAGGTCTGCTTTGTGTCCACTAATCACACTGGATATCCGGTCACCTAAAAAAACAATCCTTGTCCCAAGTCACTTACGGAGGCACTCTCTAAAACAGGAACGGAGGAAGGCCCAGCAAATTGTGAAATCAAGTGGTTTTGTTCTCAATTCAATTACCTTCACAGAGACCTAAAAAAAATAAATAAGTCAAATGCAACGAGAGGCCAAGTCAACCCTAAACATCCCTTCCTCACAAGAACAGACATGCCTTCAGCTCCAAGCACAAAGCCAAGCTTGTCAGGCAAGAACAGGGTTTTAGGCTTATTTTTATGCTTTCCTCCTCTCTTCTACTCCAACATCATGTATTTCATAAGATCCAGAAGACAGAGGCAAAGTGGAAAAGTACAAATAACAGAATGATCTTTAGGGCTGGTAAGGAAAAGGTAAAATTCCAAATGTGAACTTCACCTGCCCAAAATTTTTGCCAGCAACTTTCTGGCAAGACCATAATCTCAGGCAATTCCAAACAAATGAAACTTTAAAGGCAAATTACCAAGGGAAAGGGAGCTAGCTTTAGAGACTCTCCTCTCACCCAGCTCTCTGCTGTTTAGAGGACCAGCAACCACCCCCCACAATCACGTGCTGAGACCTTTGCTTCCTGCAAGCTGACAACCCTCCAGTGTTGACTAAGGCCTTCTACTTCCATCTGCAACAGTCAGGCCCAAATTCCAAGCCCAGGTCTGCATGCAGGAGCCCACATCTTTCACACTTGGCTGGCATGCTGCACCACAAGACTAATAAGCTACAGAGCAAGTGTCCTCCGAGTGAAAGGCCTGTGCATGGAGAAAGAGCCGGGTAATGGAGACACAGACTGGTTGGTTACAGATGAGACTGTTCTATCAAGCATCAGCATGGCTGGGATGTGCAAGGAAGTGTGAGGTGACACTAGGAACTACACAAGTCTTCCCTCAGAAAGGATTGATCATGTCACCGGGGGACAGGCCACACTCAGAAAATTAGTATAAAGTAGGAGGAGGAAAGCAGTTACACCAAACTGATGGTTGGTCAGAAACACATGGCTCATACAATACCAGAAACAAATACCATACCCCCCCCCAACCCATTAGCCAGTTTCCAAATCATGAGCCTTCTCATATCACAGTTCATCTACTCCTCCAGCAACTGCTTACTGGGTACTTTTTCTGTGGCAGGTCCTCCATCAGGTACTAGGAGACACAAATGACTGAAATCAAAGCAGTTTTGATACAACTTGACAGACTGCTTAGCCATAAGGAAACAAATGGGCAGATGCAGAACAATGGGTACAAGTGTAGCAATCACCACACACGGTGCTGTGGGAGGACCTGGAGAAAAGGAATCAGAGAAGGCATCCTACAGATGGCTGACAAGTAACTGGAAGGAAGAACAAGAATTAGTTAGGTGGTAGGTAGAAGGTTCCAGGCAAGGCTCCATGGATGACAACACCACCATGTCAGGAGCAGAAAGAGCCTCTGAAGGCTGCACGAAGCACAAGGGTGTGTGTGGCACACTCTGGATTCAAGGTTGTTACTACTCCCTGGGTAAATGGTGAGAGAGTACAAAGAGGCAGATGAAAGGAGCAGCTAGGGTAAACCTAGGAGCTTCCCCAGTTGCAGAACAGAGACCATGCCAGGTACAGGACCTAGAATTGGCCAGAGAAGCAGGTGATGTAATAGGAAAGGAAAAAGAAGAGAGTAAGTTACTGAAACCACGGAAGAGGAAGTAAACAGAGGTTATCCATGCTGAGCAGGGTAAAGTAAGGATGCAAAGTATCCATTGGCCTTGCAAAAGGAAGTTAATAGTTATTTTGTCAGACATTCTTTCAGAGGCACAAGTGCAATCCCCCTGTGTGAAGGAGTTTCCAGAAGGTGGACAATGGGCATAGGGGCGATTCATTTCAAAAATTTCAACTATGGAACAACTATAGAAGTGGCTGGAGGGCAAGTCTTGGATGAAGGAAGCTAAGAATGTTTACCTGTTCCAGGTGCAATGGCAGTAGAGAGAAAGGCCTGAGAGCACAGCCTAAGAGAGTCACTAAGCCAGCAGAACAGCACACCTTTAACAGGTGACACGGAAGGCGTCCAGGGCCAGATTTAAGGTGTGCCTTAAACAAACAGGCACCAAGGGTCCTTTTGTTGTGAGAAAATGAGGTGGGATAGGCCTGAGGCTGCAGGAGGCAGACTGTTTGTTGTGAATGGGAGGCAGGTCTGAGGTGAAAGACTGGATTTCTTGTGGCTCGGTCTGAAAAACATTTCTCCCAGCAGCACTTGGGAGCCTTAGAAGAGAAAGGGAGGTCAAGAGTTGACAGGCAGGCTTTCGCTCTCCAGCTAAAGATGGTGGAGCGCGGCTACAGCTTTTCGCTGACTACACTCAGCCCCTCCGGTAAACTTGTCCAGATTGAATACGCTTTGGCTGCTATAGCTGGAGGAGCCCCTTCAGTGGGAATTAAAGCTGCAAATACTGTGGTATTAGCAACTGAGAAGAAACAGAAATCCATTCTGTATGATGAGCGAAGTGTACACAAAGTGGAACCAATCACCAAGCATACAGGTTTGGTGTATAGTGGCATGGGCCCAGATTACAGAGTGCTTGTGCACAGAGCTCGAAAACTGGCTCAGCAATACTATCTCGTTTATCAAGAACCCATTCCCACAGCTCAATTGGTACAGAGAGTAGCTTCTGTGATGCAAGAGTATACGCAGTCAAGTGGTGTTCATCCATTTGGAGTTTCATTACTTATCTGTGGTTGGAATGAGGGACGACCATATTTATTTCAGTCACATCCATCTGGAGCTTACTTTGCCTGGAAGGCCACAGCGATGGGAAAGAACTATACAAATGGGAAGATATTTCTTGAGAAAAGATATAATGAAGATCTGGAACTTGAAGATGCCATTCACACAGCCATCTTAACCCTAAAGGAAAGCTTTGAAGGGCAAATGACAGAAGATAACATTGAAGTTGGGATCTGCAATGAAGCCGGCTTTAGGAGGCTCACTCCAACTGAAGTTAAGGGTTACCTGGCTGCCAAAGCATAATAAGGAAGTGACTGAACAATCCGGAATTTCACATAATCTATGTACTTACACATGTTCGAAGTATGTTTTGTTTTGCAGACTTTTTGCATACTTACTTCTACATGGTTTAATGGACTGATGTTTTTAAAATGACACTTACAAATCATAATAAACTGTTCAATCAAAAAAAAAAAAAGTTGACGGGCATGCAGATGGTAACAGTGTGGGAAAGAGGTCTGGAAAGGTAGCATTGAAAGCACCTGAAGCCAGATGGGGTGGTCACATCTATAATCCCATGGAGGAAGAGACAGGAGGATCACAAGTTTAAGGCCAGCCTGGGCTACAAAGTGAGACCTGGTCTCACAATGAAAAGAACTGACAAGAGAAGAGCTCGGGCGCTGGGGTCAACGTGTGGACTTCCAGCAGATTCCACTGGAGTTCTTCCTTCCCGAGGCTGTTTCAGCTTGAGAAGAGCAAGGGATCCCAACTGCTAGGCCTCAGGATTCAGTGGCTCTTTATACAAATGGGGAGTGCGGGTGACTGGAAGGGTGCCCTTCGTGTAGGAGGCGTGGCAGGGACTGAGCCTGGGCAGAGGAATTTGTAGGGATGTGATGCAGCAGAACTACAGCAACTTGGTCTCCACAGGAGGAGAGGAAAGCACTAAACCTCATGTGCTTGAGTTGAAGTGGGGACAGGAGGCCTCTCCAGTCGGGAGAAGTGATGAGGCACTATTCCAGAAAAGGCCAGGATGTTAAGGGGCAGGTCTGGAGGCCAAGGATGTAGACAAGAGTCTCAAGGGAGAAGTTGCCTCAACTGACAGGAAAACATGGCAAAAACTAGGCAAAAAGGTATTGGAAGTGGGAACAATTTTTACTGAGCACAGACCGTGTTCCTTCAAGACTCAGATTCCTACAGGGTGATTGTTTACAAGACCTCGGAAACAGTATAGATCTAGAAAGTTAACTGGCCATAATCTATTCAAATCCATGCAAAACAAGGAACACAGTGCCTATGGGACAGTCCTTCACTCCAAGTGAAGAATTTCAGCTGTCTGAAGACACACGAGGCGACCTATCCTGTGAGTGCAGAACACTCAGGGAGAGCGAGGTCTAAACCAACTGGAAAGCTCTGAATGAGTGAGTCAACAAGGCGATATTAATGTGACTGCCCACGGTCTCACTCCACTGCAGGTAGAGGGAAGTGAGGACCTTGGGAGTGGGGAGCAGAAAAACAGCTGAAAACGTGATGATGGAGAAAGCAGCAGCTGTGTGAGGGATGTGAAACAAAGGAGGCTGCTATGCACAGGTGAGCTGGAATATCCCAAACACTAGGCCTGCGGCACATATGGTGGGAGGTGAGGGGCATGGCATTCAGAGGCTGAAGTGAGGACACTGTGCACCACCCAAATGGGACCCTGACACACCCAGGGGTACAGCAGCCTTGGAAATGAAGGCAGGGTGTGACCCAGGTAAACTGAGGAGAGCAGGGAGGGGTGTCAAGACAGCCATTTAAAATACAACTCACGTAATACAAGTTCCCAGCATGGCAACTTATGGACTACGAAGGCTGGAACCCTAAGTACATGTGCACCAGTACTCATACCTCCCCCATCCCCAGCAAATCAGAAGACAGAGCAGCTCACTGTCGTAGCCAGATTGGGGACTTCCACGAATTCTTTCTTATAATCCTCACCCCCCACACTTTTTTTTTTAAGAAAAATCAGTTTTATTACTATATAATGATAGTGTGCTAACTTTGAGTAGGTAGGTTGTATAAGGAAAAGTCTGAAAATTCTTTTGGGTGTAACCCAACCTCCAAGACATGGTTGCATGAGTGTGCACACTGTTCTTTCTTCAGACCTCTAACTGCAGCCTGGAACTGAGCAAGGACATGGCTCAGTCTCCCTCAAAACCCTAGGCTCCAGACAAGACAACAATTCCCTTCTTAAAAGCACTTGCCTCCCCCTGAAAGCACGTGCCAGTAACTGCCACGTCTCAGTGATCCTGGCAAGAGGCTGTAACACACGGATTTTCTACTCCACCTCTAGTGCCATGGGCGTTCTATAAGATCCACTCAGTGGTTCAGAAGTGATTCCAACATAAAACCAGAAGAGGAAAAGAAAAAGAAAGTAGCAGTGCATCACCCCTCACCATTAAAAGAAGGTAGTCCAGGCACCTTTTATTCTACCTTGCCATTGATTTGAAGGAAAACCTTTCCCTTCTAGATCTTCAAGTGATTCCAGTTGAGTTATTTGGAGAGGGGGGTTGGTGTGGTTGAAATAGGATAATTATGTACCCTCATTCTCCTGCCTCCACCTCTCAAGTGATGGGATTACAATGAGTGCCACCATGCCCGGCTCAGCAAGTATTTTTAAGACTCGGGATATAACTCACTGGTAGGTAGAATGCTGGCCCAGCATGAGCAAGGTCCTGAGTTTTATCCCCAGCACCACAAAAAGAAGAAAGAAAAGAAAAACCCTACTAATTCTTCATATCATCTTCAGAGCTAGAATTAAAAGGAAAGAGCAGACGTTTTCACAAAGGGAAGGTTTGCAGGTATCCAGTTCTGACTGCTTCTATGTGGCAAGAAGAATTTAACAGATGTGTGACTGGAAAGCAGGCAGCAATCAGTAAACCATTCAGAACTGCTCAAGAGAACTTTTGTTTTTAAACTTAACCATGAAAGTCTCAGAATCTGTAATCTATCTGAAGTGTTCAAATGCCTGCGAATTTACACCTATCATTCAGCTGTTTAAAAATAAGACAATTATCAGAAAACTTAAGTTATTTTCCAAGGTACTTGACTTGAAAGAGTGACTCAAGGAAAGCCATCTGTGTAAAAAGAAAGGCTGATCAGCAAACCACCTCTGGGGATAAGCTAGCCAACATCATTAAAACATCCCCAAAAATTCACAACAAATAAGACCTCTGTTCTCACAATGTCAGCTGCACATCAGGGGTAGCCATGCATTTCCAAGTTATTTTTAGTGAAGCAGACAGGTATCTGAAGATTCTTTCTGAAAGTCTTCATTTTACATATTAAAACACAGTATTCATTCTGTGTGTATAACCATCCATAAAGGTTGCTACTTTATTCCAATAAATGCCACTCTGCTTGCCTAGTGAGCCAGCGTGATGCACTGTGGTTTGCACTCTGGTGAATAAAACTGAAAATGAAGCAAACCCCAAGCTCCTGGGGAAAACACCCACACAGGTGCCTTCACTGAACGCCAGCAGGAGCTCATGACATGTTACCTCCTCTATGCCACCCTATGGAAGGGGTCTGAGGCTGTATTACAGTGGTCAAAGTGAGAAGGAATGGCAAGGGCAAGAGATAAAAAGAAAGAGGAAAAATTTATATATTGTGAAAGAATACACATGAATGAGGGAGAAGGGTAGGACCAGCAAGAGAAAGTGAAATGTGACCCAGTGGAGGTAATATGACCCTTATGACATCACGCAGGAAGGGGAACCCTAGGCTAGGGATCCAGAGGACACCGGGACTCACCTTTATGCACAATCCTCCACCTCTGTGTCTGCTCCAATTCCACAGTTCCCGCTTGAGAGGCTCTCCAGCACACCTGCAGGAGCTTATTTCACTCTCAACTGGAGTCCTCTCTATTCAGCTACTTTGACCCCTGGTCTACTAAATGCTATCTCTCTGTCTCTCTTTCTGTCTGTCTCTCTCCCCCTCTTTTGGTAATATTGGGGTTTGAACTCAGGGCCTCCCACTTGCTAGGCAGGTGCTTTAGTGCTTAAGCCATGCCCCCAGCCCTTGGAGTACTAAAGTCTTAAGGATAGGAAGCAAGTTTGTCACTGCCCACACAAAGCCTGGCACCTGTGGCCGCTATATGCTTGCTGAGTGGCTGAATAAGCGGGCTCTGCCGTCAGCAAGTTTACAATCTAGAAAAGAGACCGTAGAAGACGGAGGAAATGCTTCACGGAGAAACTGGTCTCCTGGTTGATTTTAATCTCACATATATGAGAAAGCAGAATATGACTGTGCCATCTGTCTGCCACATGACCCAGAATGTTAAACCCCAAACTGGTTTTGTCCTTTTAGGATTCCGCTTTGGAGAGGGGAAGCTGACTGTTTTATAATGGGAAAGACCATCTTTATCTACTGTTCATCCTAATTTGTCACAGCATGCCTCTGTGGGTTACTAAATGTTAAGGAAGAGTGAAGAAAAAGCACATCCTACAACCTCATGAACACTTACTTTTGTTGTTACACAAAACCAGCCCAGGCAACAGAAGTGAGACCTTATCTCAAAAATATCCAACACAAAAAGGGTTGGCGGAGTGGCTCAAGTGGTAGAGTGCCTGCCTAGCATGCATGAGGCCCTGAGCTCAAATCCTGTGCCACACACACACACACACACACACACACACACACAAATAATTCATGGAAATAGCTGAACATGGAACAAAAATATAATCACATTCAGTTGCCCAAGATGGAAAAAAATGATGGTGGTGGTGGCTTCCAACTTCCTCAAAAGAGCAGGAGGGGGTAGGAATGAAGAGAAAAGGGGGAAAGGCTGGAGGGAAAATAGCACCTGCTGGTATCTCAGCCTGGAATTTCCGATCAAGGCACTCCCTCAGGCCACCAGTCTTTACCCTCTGCTCTGATTTTATGTAATGACAGTACACCAACTACATACAAAGCTAAACATCATGTTAGTTCTAGTACTAAAATTAAACTTTTGGAGAAAATGCAGGGTGGAGCAGGGATAGCCTCCAAGGGCCAGGTAGTGTACAGGGTTGAGGACAGTGTGGGGGCTGTGGTGACTAAAGAGCACAGACGTGTCCATCCAAAAGGAGCTGTGTGCCTCACAGTAGCCAGTGCCAACATGGCCACACAGGGCGTGAGTTTCAGATTTTCCAAGAGGCCAGAAATCCAGATTTGTATGTGATTTCTCCTTATTTTATAAACCATGGCAAAAAAGATTAAATTCTTTTTTAAAAAACTGTATGGACCAAGCAAAACATGACTGTAGGTGGCCAATTTGTAACATATAGGTAAGAGGTGAGAAATTTGGGCAAGGTCAAAGCTACAAAGTGACTCTTGTGTCCTAATAATTTGGGGGTGTTAGCACAAACTGATCGCTTCACAGTGGTGCATTAAAAACTGAAGCCAAGGCCACACTACCACAGTGGGATTGGGAAGTTGGACTC